AGCCTAAGCCTAAGCCTAAGCCTAAGCCTAAGCCTAAGCCTAAGCCTAAGCCTAAGCCTAAGCCTAAGCCTAAGCCTAAGCCTAAGCCTAAGCCTAAGCCTAAGCCTAAGCCTAAGCCTAAGCCTAAGCCTAAGCCTAAGCCTAAGCCTAAGCCTAAGCCTAAGCCTAAGCCTAAGCCTAAGCCTAAGCCTAAGCCTAAGCCTAAGCCCTAAGCCTAAGCCTAAGCCTAAGCCTAAGCCTAAGCCTAAGCCTAAGCCTAAGCCTAAGCCTAAGCCTAAGCCTAAGCCTAAGCCTAAGCCTAAGCCTAAGCCTAAGCCTAAGCCTAAGCCTAAGCCTAAGCCTAAGCCTAAGCCTAAGCCTAAGCCTAAGCCTAAGCCTAAGCCTAAGCCTAAGCCTAAGCCTTAAGCCTAAGCCTATAAGCCTAAGCCTAAGCCTAAGCCTAAGCCTAAGCCTAAGCCTTAAGCCTAAGCCTAAGCCTAAGCCTAAGCCTAAGCCTAAGCCTAAGCCTAAGCCTAAGCCTAAGCCTAAGCCTAAGCCTAAGCCTAAGCCTAAGCCTAAGCCTAAGCCTAAGCCTAAGCCTAAGCCTAAGCCTAAGCTAAGCCTAAGCCTAAGCCTAAGCCTAAGCCTAAGCCTAAGCCTAAGCCTAAGCCTAAGCCTAAGCTAAGCCTAAGCCTAAGCCTAAGCCTAAGCCTAAGCCTAAGCCTAAGCCTAAGCCTAAGCCTAAGCCTAAGCCTAAGCCTAAGCCTAAGCCTAAGCCTAAGCCTAAGCCTAAGCCTAAGCCTAAGCCTAAGCCTAAGCCTAAGCCTAAGCCTAAGCCTAAGCCTAAGCCTAAGCCTAAGCCTAAGCCTAAGCCTAAGCCTAAGCCTAAGCTAAGCCTAAGCCTAAGCCTAAGCCTAAGCCTAAGCCTAAGCCTAAGCCTAAGCCTAAGCCTAAGCCTAAGCCTAAGCCTAAGCCTAAGCCTAAGCCTAAGCCTAAGCCTAAGCCTAAGCCTAAGCCTAAGCCTAAGCCTAAGCCTAAGCCTAAGCCTAAGCCTAAGCCTAAGCCTAAGCCTAAGCCTAAGCCTAAGCCTAAGCCTAAGCCTAAGCCTAAGCCTAAGCCTAAGCCTAAGCCTAAGCCTAAGCCTTAAGCCTAAGCCTAAGCCTAAGCCTAAGCCTAAGCCTAAGCCTAAGCCTAAGCCTAAGCCTAAGCCTAAGCCTAAGCCTAAGCCTAAGCCTAAGCCTAAGCCTAAGCCTAAGCCTAAGCCTAAGCCTAAGCCTAAGCCTAAGCCTAAGCCTAAAGCCTAAGCCTAAGCCTAAGCCTAAGCCTAAGCCTAAGCCTAAGCCTAAGCCTAAGCCTAAGCCTAAGCCTAAGCCTAAGCCTAAGCCTAAGCCTAAGCCTAAGCCTAAGCCTAAGCCTAAGCCTAAGCCTAAGCCTAAGCCTAAGCCTAAGCCTAAGCCTAAGCCTAAGCCTAAGCCTAAGCCTAAGCCTAAGCCTAAGCCTAAGCCTAAGCCTAAGCCTAAGCCTAAGCCTAAGCCTTAAGCCTAAGCCTAAGCCTAAGCCTAAGCCTAAGCCTAAGCCTAAGCCTAAGCCTAAGCCTAAGCCTAAGCCTAAGCCTAAGCCTAAGCCTAAGCCTAAGCCTAAGCCTAAGCCTAAGCCCTAAGCCTAAGCCTAAGCCTAAGCCTAAGCCTAAGCCTAAGCCTAAGCCTAAGCCTAAGCCTAAGCCTAAGCCTAAGCCTAAGCCTAAGCCTAAGCCTAAGCCTAAGCCTAAGCCTAAGCCTAAGCCTAAGCCTAAGCCTAAGCCTAAGCCTAAGCCTAAGCCTAAGCCTAAGCCTAAGCCTAGCCTAAGCCTAAGCCTAAGCCTAAGCCTAAGCCTAAGCCTAAGCCTAAGCCTAAGCCTAAAAGCCTAAGCCTAAGCCTAAGCCTAAGCCTAAGCCTAAGCCTTAAGCCTAAGCCTAAGCCTAAGCCTAAGCCTAAGCCTAAGCCTAAGCCTAAGCCTAAGCCTAAGCCTAAGCCTAAGCCTAAGCCCTAAGCCTAAAGCCTATAAGCCTAAGCCTAAGCCTAAGCCTAAGCCTAAGCCTAAGCCTAAGCCTAAGCCTAAGCCTAAGCCTAAGCCTAAGCCTAAGCCTAAGCCTAAGCCTAAGCCTAAGCCTAAGCCTAAGCCTAAGCCTAAGCCTAAGCCTAAGCCTAAGCCTAAGCCTAAGCCTAAGCCTAAGCCTAAGCCTAAGCCTAAGGCCTAAGCCTAAGCCTAAGCCTAAGCCTAATGCCTAAGCCTAAGCCTAAGCCTTAAGCCTAAGCCTAAGCCTAAGCCTAAGCCTAAGCCTAAGCCTAAGCCTAAGCCTAAGCCTAAGCCTAAGCTAAGCCTAAGCCTAAGCCTAAGCCTAAGCCTAAGCCTAAGCCTAAGCCTAAGCCTAAGCCTAAGCCTAAGCCTAAGCCTAAGCCTAAGCCTAAGCCTAAGCCTAAGCCTAAGCCTAAGCCTAAGCCTAAGCCTAAGCCTAAGCCTAAGCCTAAGCCTAAGCCTAAGCCTAAGCCTAAGCCTAAGCCTAAGCCTAAGGCCTAAGCCTAAGCCTAAGCCTAAGCCTAAGCCTAAGCCTAAGCCTAAGCCTAAGCCTAAGCCTAAGCCTAAGCCTAAGCCTAAGCCTTAAGCCTAAGCCTAAGCCTAAGCCTAAGCCTAAGCCTAAGCCTAAGCCTAAGCCTAAGCCTAAGCCTAAGCCTAAGCCTAAGCCTAAGCCTAAGCCTAAGCCTAAGCCTAAGCCTAAGCCTAAGCCTAAGCCTAAGCCTAAGCCTAAGCCTAAGCCTAAGCCTAAGCCTAAGCCTAAGCCTAAGCCTAAGCCTAAGCCTAAGCCTAAGCCTAAGCCTAAGCCTAAGCCTAAGCCTAAGCCTAAGCCTAAGCCTAAGCCTAAGCCTAAGCCTAAGCCTAAACCTAAGCCTAAGCTAAGCCTAAGCCTAAGCCTAAGCCTAAGCCTAAGCCTAAGCCTAAGCCTAAGCCTAAGCCTAAGCCTAAGCCTAAGCCTAAAGCCTAAGCCTAAGCCTAAGCCTAAGCCTAAGCCTAAGCCTAAGCCTAAGCCCTAAGCCTAAGCCTAAGCCTAAGCCTAAGCCTAAGCTAAGCCTAAGCCTAAGCTAAGCCTAAGCCTAAGCCTAAGCCTAAGCCTAAGCCTAAGCTTAGGCTTAAGCCTAAGCCTAAGCCTAAGCCTAAGCCTAAGCCTAAGCCTAAGCCTAAGCCTAAGCCTAAGCCTAAGCCTAAGCCTAAGCCTAAGCCTAAGCCCAAGCCTAAGCCTAAGCCTAAGCCTAAGCCTAAGCCTAAGCCTAAGCCTAAGCCTAAGCCTAAGCCTAAGCTTAAGCCTAAGCCTAAGCCTAAGCCTAAGCCTAAGCCTAAGCCTAAGCCTAAGCCTAAGCCTAAGCCTAAGCCTAAGCCTAAAGCCTAAGCCTAAGCCTAAGCCTAAGCCTAAGCCTAAGCCTAAGCCTAAGCCTAAGCCTAAAGCCTAAGCCTAAGCCTAAGCCTAAGCCTAAGCCTAAGCCTAAGCCTAAGCCTAAGCCTAAGCCTAAGCCTAAGCCTAAGCCTAAGCCTAAGCCTAAGCCTAAGCCTAAGCCTAAGCCTAAGCCTCCCCTTAAATTACATTGATATCACAATATCAATGTAATTTAAGTAGATTAAGGATATTAAGCCTAAGCCTAAGCCTAAGCCTAAGCCTAAGCCTAAGCCTAAGCCTAAGCCTAAGCCTAAGCCTAAGCCTAAGCCTAAGCCTTAAGCCTAAGCCTAAGCCCTAAGCCTAAGCCTAAGCCTAAGCTAAGCCTAAGCCTAAGCCTAAGCCTAAGCCTAAGCCTAAGCCTAAAGCCTAAGCCTAAGCCTAAGCCTAAGCCTAAGCCCTAAGCCTAAGCTCTAAGCCTAAGCCTAAGCCTAAGCCTAAGCCTAAAGCCTAAGCCTAAGCCTAAGCCTAAGCCTAAGCCTAAGCCTAAGCCTAAGCCTAAGTCCTAAGCCTAAGCCTAAGCCTAAGCCTAAGCCTAAGCCTAAGCCTAAGCCTAAGCCTAAGCCTAAGCCTAAGCCTAAGCCTAAGCCTAAGCCTAAGCCTAAGCCTAAGCCTAAGCCTAAGCCTAAGCCTAAGCCTAAGCCTAAGCCTAAGCCTAAGCCTAAGCCTAAGCCTAAGCCTAAGCCTAAGCCTAAGCCTAAGCCTAAGCTAAGCCTAAGCCTAAGCCTAAGCCTAAGCCTAAGCCTAAGCCTAAGCCTAAGCCTAAGCCTAAGCCTAAGCCTAAGCCTAAGCCTAAGCCTAAGCCTAAGCCTAAGCCTAAGCCTAAGCCTAAGCCTAAGCCTAAGCCTAAGCCTAAGCCTAAGCTAAGCCTAAGCCTAAGCCTAAGCCTAAGCCTTAAGCCTAAGCCTAAGCCTAAGCCTAAGCCTAAGCCTAAGCCTAAGCCTAAGCCTAAAGCCTAAGCCTAAGCCTAAGCCTCTAAGCCTAAGCCTAAGCCTAAGCCTAAGCCTAAGCCTAAGCCTAAGCCTAAGCCTAAAGCCTAAGCCTAAGCCTAAGCCTAAGCCTAAGCCTAAGCCTAAGCCTAAGCCTAAGCCTAAGCCTAAGCCTAAGCCTAAGCCTAAGCCTAAGCCTAAGCCTAAGCCTAAGCCTAAGCCTAAGCCTAAGCCTAAGCCTAAGCCTAAGCCTAAGCTAAGCCTAAGCCTAAGCCTAAGCCTAAGCCTAAGCCTAAGCCTAAGCCTAAGCCTAAGCCTAAGCCTAAGCCTAAGCCTAAGCCTAAGCCTAAGCCTAAGCCTAAGCCTAAGCCTAAGCCTAAGCCTAAGCCTAAGCCTAAGCCTAAGCCTAAGCCTAAGCCTAAGCCTAAGCCTAAGCCTAAGCCTAAGCCTAAGCCTAAGTATACCCTAAGCCTAAGCCTAAGCCTAAGCCTAAGCCTAAGCCTTAAGCCTAAGCCTAAGCCTAAGCCTAAGCCTAAGCCTAAGCCTAAGCTAAGCCTAAGCCTAAGCCTAAGCCTAAGCCTAAGCCTAAGCCTAAGCCTAAGCCTAAGCCTAAGACCTAAGCCTAAGCCTAAGCCTAAGCCTAAGCCTAAGCCTAAGCCTAAGCCTAAGCCTAAAGCCTAAGCCTAAGCCTAAGCCTAAGCCTAAGCCTAAGCCTAAGCCTAAGCCTAAGCCTAAGCCTAAGCCTAAGCCTAAGCCTAAGCCTAAGCCTAAGCCTAAGCCTAAGCCTAAGCCTAAGCCTAAGCCTAAGCCTAAGCCTAAGCCTAAGCCTAAGCCTAAGCCTAAGCCTAAGCCTAGCCTAAGCCTAAGCCTAAGCCTTAAGCCTAAGCCTAAGCCTAAGCCTAAGCCTAAGCCTAAGCCTAAGCCTAAGCCTAAGCCTAAAGCCTAAAGCCTAAGCCTAAGCCTAAGCCTAAGCCTAAGCCTAAGCCTAAGCCTAAGCCTAAGCCTAAGCCTAAGCCTAAGCCTAAGCCTAAGCCTAAGCCTAAGCCTAAGCCTAAGCCTAAGCCTAAGCCTAAGCCTAAGCCTAAGCCTAAGCCTAAGCCTAAGCCTAAGCCTAAGCCTAGCTAAGCCTAAGCCTAAGCCTAAGCCTAAGCCTAAGCCTAAGCCTAAGCCTAAGCCTAAGCCTAAGCCTAAGCCTAAGCCTAAGCCTAAGCCTAAGCCTAAGCCTAAGCCTAAGCCTAAGCCTAAGCCTAAGCCTAAGCCTAAGCCTAAGCCTAAGCCTAAGCCTAAGCCTAAGCCTAAGCCTAAGCCTAAGCCTAAGCCTAAGCCTAAGCCTAAGCCTAAGCCTAAGCCTAAGCCTAAGCCTAAGCCTAAGCCTAAAGCCTAAGCCTAAGCCTAAAGCCTAAGCCTAAGCCTAAGCCTAAGCCTAAGCCTAAGCCTAAGCCTAAGCCTAAGCCTAAGCCTAAGCCTAAGCCTAAGCCTAAGCCTAAGCCTAAGCCTAAGCCTAAGCCTAAGCCTAAGCCTAAGCCTAAGCCTAAGCCTAAGCCTAAGCCTAAGCCTAAAAGCCTAAGCCTAAGCCTAAGCCTAAGCCTAAGCCTAAGCCTAAGCCTAAGCCTAAGCCTAAGCCTAAGCCTAAGCCTAAGCCTAAGCCTAAGCCTAAGCCTAAGCCTAAGCCTAAGCCTAAGCCTAAGCCTTAAGCCTAAGCCTAAGCCTAAGCCTAAGCCTAAGCCTAAGCCTAACTAAGCCTAAGCCTAAGCCTAAGCCTAAGCCTAAGCCTAAGCCTAAGCCTAAGCCTAAGCCTAAGCCTAAGCCTAAGCCTAAGCCTAAGCCTAAGCCTAAAGCCTAAAGCCTAAGCCTAAGCCTAAGCCTAAGCCTAAGCCTAAGCCTAAGCCTAAGCCTAAGCCTAAGCCTTAAGTAACTAAGCCTAAGCCTAAGCCTAAGCCTAAGCCTAAGCCTAAGCCTAAGCCTAAGCCTAAGCCTAAGCCTAAGCCTAAGCCTAAGCCTAAGCCTAAGCCTAAGCCTAAGCCTAAGCCTAAGCCTAAGCCTAAGCCTAAGCCTAAGCCTAAGCCTAAGCCTAAGCCTAAGCCTAAGCCTAAGCCTAAGCCTAAGCCTAAGCCTAAGCCTAAGCCTAAGCCTAAGCCTAAGCCTAAGCCTAAGCCTAAGCCTAAGCCTAAGCCTAACTAAGCCTAAGCCTAAGCCTAAGCCTAAGCCTAAGCCTAAGCTTAAGCCTAAGCCTAAGCCTAAGCCTAAGCCTAAGCCTAAGCCTAAGCCTAAGCTAAGCCTAAGCCTAAGCCTAAGCCTAAGCCTAAGCCTAAGCCTAAGCCTAAGCCTAAGCCTAAGCCTAAGCCTAAGCCTAAGCCTAAGCCTAAGCCTAAGCCTAAGCCTAAGCCTAAGCCTAAGCCTAAGCCTAAGCCTAAGCCTAAGCCTAAGCCTAAGCCTAAGCCTAAGCCTAAGCCTAAGCCTAAGCCTAAGCCTAAGCCTAAGCCTAAGCCTAAGCCTAAGCCTAAGCCTAAGCCTAAGCCTAAGCCTAAGCCTAAGCCTAAGCCTAAGCCTAAGCCTAAGCCTAAGCCTAAGCCTAAGCCAAGCCTAAGCCTAAGCCTAAGCCTAAGCCTAAGCCTAAGCCTAAGCCTAAGCCTAAGCCTAAGCCTAAGCCTAGCCTAAGCCTAAGCCTAAGCCTAAGCCTAAGCCTAAGCCTAGCCTAAGCCTAAGCCTAAGCCTAAGCCTAAGCCTAAGCCTAAGCCTAAGCCTAAGCCTAAGCCTAAGCCTTAAGCCTAAGCCTAAGCCTAAGCCTAAGC